GTGAAGCTGTTTGCCACCGTATAGCCTGATAACGGAGCTGTGTCGCTGATCATGTCAGCGTGTTTATAGTAGTTCATGACGACTGTGAACGTGTTTTGGGAGCTCCTGACAATACTGGCAAATAAGGTGTTTCGATACTTCATCAGTGTCGTCGTTTGCACTCGAATCCACACGAACCCCGTACGAACGTGAACGAAGAAAATAACCTAACAACTGGTGTCAGAAGGAAAAGAAAAATGCAACAATACTTTGTAAAACTTTAATGAATTTTTTTTAACAAACTCAACAATCGGAAATCGAGTAGTGATAACACAGTATGAAATAAAACAATGTTATCTCCATTGCCGTAAAGCTGTCTATCGAAAATTCTGAAGGATATGTTGTTTTTTAATATTTTGTGATTTTTGCTGTTGACTTGGATTTTATGTGAAGTGCAAAGTACGTGATATTTAATATAAACACTCTAAACGTTAATAATAAAAAGGCAAAAAAAATTTTAAGCCATCTTATCCAAAAAAAACTGAAGAACTGAGAAAAGACTGAACAGGAAAATGTATGCCAACTCTTAACCATGCGGATACGCGACATGGCTGCCCGAAAACGGATGAAGACAGTCAAACAGCTTACTTTGACCAACATGTTCAGCAAGCAATGACTTTCAGCACTTGTAAGTACTGTACTCGCTATATAACATGTATGTAAAATTGTTGCCTTTTTATTTTAGTTAATTAAAACCTCTTTGCTGTTAAAAATAGTTTTTTTTCTCCCATTTTCCACATACAGTAATTAATTAAAGTCTACGTAGATCCTTTTTTGGAAAAAATCCAATTATCCGAATTTTTGATTATCCGAATGGGATCCGGTCCCAATTGATTCGGATAATTGGAGTTCTACTGTAAATGAAATTTAATTCATTAATATAGCTTTTTGCTGTAGTTAACAAAGAGTGAGTTAAATTGCAAAGATTAGTAAAAAGGCAGCTGTTTCTAATTTCTATGAGCTTTATATAAAGTGTATATTTTCGCAGATCCTTAATATCCATGTGATATTTTTATTATATTTTCCACAATAACGTAAATCAAATTTTAAATGAAAAAAATCATTTGCGGACACCTGGTTAATAATTCATGGAATCCCTAGAGGGCCACAGATACAAGTTTAAGAATAACTGGTGCAGAATATTAATGACAGCTTCATAGTGAATTATTCTGGCCGTCCAATGAAAAATATGCACCATAATAAATTAATAAAAGTTCAGCAAAAAGATAAAGTTGTTCAATTCCTCGGGAATTCATTTTGGAATAGGGTCTCAGTAACGGGGCAATCTTTACAAAGTCATGAGTTTCCGGATTTTTATAGTATTCTGACACATTTACCTACACTAACTCTCCAAAAAATAGCAATAAATGTGCTAGAATGAGACTTCTGTGCTTGAAGCCCTGAGCGGTACTCATAATGCCTATTCGGCAAACTGCGGTTACGGCACTGATGTTAGCCGTTCTTACACGCTAATAATAAGATGAATGAATGAATAGATTAAAAAAGTGAATACAGGCAATTGGCTAATAATGGTTAAGTTAAGGCAATGATATATATAATTTACATCTTACATGCTGAATCTATGTATGTTAATTATTTTGCACATATCGATCAAGGAATGCAAGACTAAGAATAGTTCTAATGTATTTCAGAGTGCTAAAACTTTGACACACTGAAATGCATCACAAAATGTCTAAAAATTCAAGCGAATTGAATTTTTAAGTTCTAAATAATCTAATGACGTAACACAGATTTTGCGTTCAGAGAAAATAATATGTCACTTTTCCTTTTTGGTAATTTGCTACGTACCTGAAGAAGAAGGTTTCTTTTCATGCTGGTTAGGCTGTAGATCGCTAGATACTTTTTTAGGCCTTCCACGACGTCGTGGTTTTTCCTTTTCATTAAGTGCTGAAATGAAGTGGAAATATATATATACATATGCATATAAATATTCAGTTCTAAATTTTACATGCAAAAATTCATTGGTTCTGTTTCTATCATTAGAATTACTAGATGAACTCATTTGTATTTTGCCCTAGTACATTAGCTACATTTTATGACATACAGGTGAAAACTTATTTTGGTACTTACATATTATTGCAACCACTCCAGTAAAAATCGCCAAAGTTTCAGAATACGTCAAACTCTGTTAACCACGTGCAGAACAATTCTTCAAGTTACCGGGCGCATGATAAATATTCAGTTTCAAACATCGCCATTTACGTATGCGTTCTTTTTGCTGTACTGCAAGCTCCAAAAGCTTTTATAGAAAAATTATGATTATTTTTTGTCTTTTTTTTTTAATTTTAAAATTCGTGCGTATGGGGTTTTACTATAAAATAATTTCTGCGGCAATACAGTATTTTGCCACAAAATCGCTAAAGTAATAAAGGTTCGAATCTCTTCTAAAAGCGATCGCTATGAAATTTCTACAACAGAAACAAAAACCCGTTTTTAACTAGGTTTACTGACTGTTTTGGGGGGTAAATATACGTAAAATAAATAATAGTCGAAAAGTAAAATATGTATGTATTTAATATATAATTTGTTTACAATAAAAGTAATTGCTCTTTTTCTTCCTTAAAATTCGCCCAAGTGTGCCAAGGTGATTGGGATAATGCGATTTTGGTTATACCTGAATTTGATGAGGTTTATAAATTACAGGGCAGTGACAGAAATTTCGAACTAGTACAACATGAATTATCGTCTTTGGAAAAATATATATTATTTTCTTCTCTAAAAAATTCCCTTTTGTTACAAAATTGCACTGGCTTTTAGGGAAGTAAAGTTTAACAGAAATAAGGTTAGTTTCAACCCGAAATCCGAAGAAGACTGTAGAAAAAACTTTTATTATAGCCTACATTTCTGGAAGGCTGTTCTGTAAGTCCCACTGAAATAAGTATATAACTGTATTTTGACTAAAAATGAATTAAAAATAATTCTGTAGATATTCTTGCTCGGAGAAATTTTAAGCAGAATCACTGGGAATTAATATTCCTTATAAAGCCAAAGTAATAAGACCAAACATTAATTAAAATTTGGAGCTATTAATGACGCCTAAATTATAACTGAAAACGAAATCCTGGGAGCAGTCGAACCGTTAAATACTGGTAGCTAGATTCCGGTTGAAATCCCGGTAAACGAGCTGGCTGAAAGAGAATTTTCCATGAAATTTCACGATGCATAATGTGAATACGAACTAGTTATCCTCAGAAAGTATTTTACGGATGCATCCCTTCCTTACTTTGCCATAATTTAATGAAATCCTTTAAGAAAAAATGCTTTTCATATAGCCGTGGTTCGCAAAACATTGGTACTCCGTAAAGCCACTTCAAATGTTCCACGAAGTTTAAATACTCAACTATTTTATAGGTTAAAATGACACGCCGAACAACGATTATTTTAGAAGTCACATTACAAAAATTATAATGCTGTTTGCAAACATAACGTTGATTTTTGTTTTTTGGCTTCTAAGGTACTCAAATATTGTTATAAAAGGGAAATCAATATAATGCAAAGTAATTTTTGTAAGGATAATAATTTTTGAATGTAATCAGCAAACGCGAGTGACAGTTAAACTTTCTACTTACACATTTAATGTCATCTCTACATATAATAAAAGAAAGAGTCTGTCTTCGCGCTGAGCATAAGCTAATAGAGCCAAGGCAAATTTGGTACTAGTGAATCTAACAAGATCCAGTCACCTCGAAGCATTTTTTTTCGAAATTCGAATTCGAATTTTTAATTTTATGTTTTGTGACGAAATCGCGTCATTGGGAGACATAATGGGCTATAGGAAGCGAGATTACTCTACACTCCTTTCATATCGGAGAACGTAGCACTTAGCATTTTCGAACTTAATAAAGTTCGTGTTTCAATAAACGATTACACGAATTATTACAAGGAGCTTAACTCCTTTTCAACGGGATTTTTCTAAAAGTTTAATTTAAAAGTACGTTTATTTTCTGATTTTTAGACACGTTAAACTTCATCCTGGCGACGGCTTTACAAAATTTTTGAAAAATGATATATTTTGTATTTAAAAAAAAAATATATCTTCCGAGTACACTTCTCACATTCACATCTTGTAAAAATGTATTTTGGCCACATTTTTCTTTTTCTTATTTCTTATGGAGATTTTAAAGAGAGGCAGAGTTTCAGGGGGCATTTTATTATATATAAATATTTTTATTGTTTTTTTTTATAAAGTTGTTCGCAGAGTAAAATTCTGCGCGGATTTTAGTTTTTTTTGGTTGCTTTCATGTTTTTTGCTTATTCCTGTTTGTAAATTGAAAGGTTATGCAGATTTTTGCACGGAAGTTGGTAATGTTTTATAGGATAATTAATATTTGTATTAAGGGAGAGCTTATTTCATTGTATTTTTTCTCTTGAAAATATAGAAAAAGGTCATTATTAACGGGCGGCAGAATTTTTTTGTTTTTTTGTATGTTATTTATTGCTCATTTCACTGAAGAATATATTGAAAGTTTTGAGTGATTTTTTTAAGAAACAAAGTTCTTAACCTCCTTTAACCAGGGAGGGCTTAAGGGGGCAAAGAGAATAGGGAAGGAAATTAGATTAGGAAATTATTTTGTATTAAATGAACTAGAATTGGATGAAGTTATGCGTAGATACTTTTAAAGCCCACCAGATGGCCGACGGTAAAGGCCGGAACATGGTACGGCCCCGAGTCGAGTCGCGAACGCGGGCGGGCGATGGCTTGGCGTGCGCGTCCCCCATGTTAACGTGTATACAGTGCCCTTAGAAGTCCTCCACGAAAGGCATCCCTCCCATTAGGCAATAGCCCTCGGGTGCTTGCCATAATAAATACACCAAAACCGGACACTTTAAAAGCCAGACGAAGGCTGGCAGCGAACTGCTAGTAATAAATAAATAATGCTAATAAGGCTATCGATTTATTTAAAAAAAAAACATAAAATGTTTAGGCTGAAGGAACTTTTGGGTGTCAACTGGCCAGACTATTTGAACGGTAACGTCTATTTGAATACGCTTCATCGATCATGGATATCAATTGTATAACAGAAGCGACTCATTACAGGACTCGTTTTCGAGTGACTTACAAAACAAAAAAACGCAAATTGAACCTTTTATGCTGAATTGAGATATCGGGAATAAAACGAAGCTTGATCAAGTAGTTACAGGTTTTTTTAAAATGAGACAGATGAAAAGCTGAATTTTCAAACAACTTTATTCATCTATAATGGAGTTATTTTTGCAAGCAATATTTTTCCTTCTTTGCGTCCTTGATTTTAAAAAGGAAGGCCACCCTTGCTTATGTTCCTCGCCTTAAAAAGGATTGCAAGGACTTTAGGAAAAGTACTTTGCAAGGGGAACTGGCTCGTAGTTATTCACACACAAGAAAGACCATGAAAATCCCAAGAAGCAAGCTTGTTATTAAAAATAAATATTCTAGTCCGTTTTGATGTTCATATACCAAACAATTATTAATTTTCCCTGCAAAATTTATAATATTCTTCGCAGGGCTGTAGAGTCAGTAGGGATACTGACAGACTCCAACTTCTGGAATTTTAAACGTAAAGACTCCGCCCCAAGGTCCGTACAGTGTACGGACCTTGACTCCGCCCTCATATATATGCAAACGCAAACATATACATATGTGTTACAGCTTATTTTTTTAATATAAACGAAATAATAGATGCTACAGAAAAACAATTGATGGCATAGCAAATTATTCATATTAATTAGCATTTACTATGAAATGGAAAAATTGGCATTAGTAATTTATGAGAAACAGTATAGCTTCGACCGTAGATCCGATTTGATAAACTTCAGAGCTGAGAAGAGTCTTTGAGTCTTCCTACACTAACTTTAGGTAGAAGGAAAAGATGTTACTGTTAGGGCTACTTCTTTCAACTTTTCAGGATAGATTTTCCTAAGTTCTAAAAGAGATGTCTTGCAAAAGCAATCTTATTTCTCTGGTTTTTCAAAGGCTGTGTAAAATCTTTTTGTATTTTTTCATTTTTATATCTAAAGGCTCTTAGTTCTTTATTTTCATTCGCTTTGCCTTAGCCTTTTCAATATTATCCAAATATTTCTCAGAATCTAATTCATCAATAATAATTCAATAATTTAATTAAATAATCAAGATATAATTGCTGAACGTTTTCTAGCAGCCATTTCTGCTGGAAGAGGCTGATAGAGACTCAGTTGCAATGTCTGCAATTTGACTGTCCTGATTTGAATACTGCAATTGTTCTAAGAATAATTTCATTCTTATTGAAAGTTTCGTAGATGGCTTTTTTTGCCTTTTTAACCGTCTGACTGCTCAATTTGTAGACCAAAATCACTTCCAAAAAAAAAAATTTTTTTTTAATAATATATTTTAAATCTAATATATTGGAGAATTGAAAAATACACTTTTTCTTTCTAGAAAATATTTTTTATATACGAGTAGATTTTTATCATGAGAAACTAAGTCGCCAGAAAAACCAATTTCAGATGTTATCACACAAAAAAATTCTTTTTTAAAATAAATTTCAGTCGAATTACAGTTAATTTCTATTTATTGCATAATATAAAAAGTAAAATGTATAAATTTAAGACAATATAAAGCGCTGAGGGGAAAATACTATAGAAATGCAGTTTAGTATGAGTTCAAAACAGGGTTCAAGGCAAAGTCCAACTTCACAGTTTTTGCACCAGATTCAATAAATCTAATTAATAATCAATCTAATTATTAATCTAATTAATAATTCAATAATTTAATTAAATAATCAAGATATAATTGCTGAACGTTTTCTAGCAGCCATTTCTGTAAGAAAAAAGTTTGAGCGCTAATACCATGTGCCTTCAAATGCCGCAACTTAGTGGACAACTAACGATATCTGTTGGGCAAAACGTAAATTAAACGCCTAATACTGTATATA